TTATTGTTTTCATTAAATTGATATCAACAAATCCTAGCATTTAATTGTAAAAGTTTTATACACATCTTTATAATCAAACTTTAGAAAGTGCAGTGGTCGTGATTAGAAAAATGATTAAAAAATCATTAAAATCGCTGGAAAGTACAGCGGGTAATTAAGAGGTCATTAATATGTCATTAAAAGTGAAAGCGCTGGTGATTAAGGGGGTAATTAAAAAGTCATTAAAACATCACTAATTACACTCATTTACTACTGACCCATTAATTTTTTGTTAAATTTTACAAGTCTTGGGGTATGGTTTTACTGTTAGATGCCTCAACCTAACATCACATTCACGTTTATGACATTTTACTACAAAAGTCAAGTATTTACTGTATTTATTAATTTCATACACACCTACAGCTTGTCAAGAATATGAAATGACGCGAAATGCGCAGAAGATAGAAGGAGCGAATCTTTTAAGAGAGTGATGGACTCTGTCCCCCTATGTACAAAAGAGAGAAGCTCCTTTCCCCATCCTTATTTTGTTCATTGCGCACCCGCGGACTCAGGGCTTTTCTTCTTGACAATATGTAGTGTCAACTATAGTGATTTGAATCATATCATCTATCAAAATTTGTTGTTATTTGTTGCTATCTACAAATAATGTTTAAGCAATTTTTTTAGTTTTATTGACGTTTTCTGTAATTCATTAGTTCAATACGGAATGATTCAATAAGAATGTTGGTTTTAAATATGGTCATCTTAATTGAATTATGACAACTAAATTTTGTATTTTGAATAATAAATCTTGTAGAAAAAGCATTGTTTTTATTATATGTTCAACATTTTTTTTGCCTCGATAAAAAAAACGGCATAATCTCGCGTTAAAAACAGTGGTTACGCAAAAAATAACTGTTTTTCATTATCTATCTACTATACCAACTATAGAAGTTTCTAATTTCTTAATTTCCTTTTTGATAAATTATTTTAAATTAACTTAATGTGCAATTTTTAATATTTTTGATTTTTAATAATTACATAACTTTTAGCTACACTTATCGCAAAACGGCGATAACAGTAATAATGTGACAGCTCATCGCAGAAAAATACGAAATTTAATTATTGTCATTTGTGTCAAAATTTGTTAATTGATTAGTTTTTATCACAGCATTTTTTTCTTGCTTCATGGTCAAAATTTAAGTGAGTGCTGATGGTAAGAAGTATAGTTCTTTATTATGAATATGAATGTGAAATTTATAAAAAAAAAACACACTCCAAAAACTGAAAAACAATTTTAATTTTTAAAACACTATTGTTTTATGTCTATACATACAGGCTGAGTCACATATAATAAAGACTCTAACTGATTTTCAAACGCAACCCAAAATACATTTTCAGATACCGCTATGATGAACTATTTGAAATTTTTCAAAGTTATAAACATAGGTAGATACCTCTGAGAGCCTTGACAGTTTTTGAGTTTTTGCAAATTGACATCCTAGAGTGTACCTTTAAAAGTAGCTACAGATTCAGTCACAACATTTTGTTGCATTCTCCATGTATCAAGATCTTGTCAGTTTCTGTCGTTTAAATATATTTTGAATTGAAGGGAAAAAAGTGGAATTGATGACACTGTCAAATTTAATCAATGACATATCAGTCTAGCTGTCCAAAATATCTGTGTACCTAATTAAAATCAAGGATAAACTCCGAATCTTATTTTAAGTAAAACATAGAAAATAATTTTATTTATCGGTCCTTGTTTTTAATAAATTTAAGTTCAACTTTTTTTAAATCTTATTAATTATAGGTATGCAAAAAAAGTTTTTAGCACTGTTAGCAGAAAGCTAAATTTCGCACGTTGATAAACACGGCTTTGTACTATTATTTGGTATAATCTTCATGTTATTGTCATATACAGGGTGTTAGCTAAAAGTCAAAAAATGGGCAAATTTTCGAACGATTGATGTTCTGTAAATTGCGACACAATTTATTTGTTTTTTATTACTATATCATACCAAAAGTTTTTTTTTGTTCTAAATATAAATTTTTTATCCAGTAAGTCTTGAAATTTTACCACTATAATTTTAAAATAGTGATTTTAGATTAAAAAAGCAGTCATATTTGAAGACAGATTATAATTAACCAAAATCTTAGCGTATGCTCCAAGAATCGTTTTTAAGTTAATGTGAAACGAATTACTCACACATAAAGTCTGTTTTTTTTTAAATGGAAATGCCATACAGTCTTGACGTTGGCATCACTAGTAAATTCATTCATGGTAATTTTAATAAAGGAAGTTGGCAGTTCCGGTTTTTTGAATTAATTTGAATACAATGTCATTAAACGTCAACACAAAAAATCGTCTTAAGAAAATTTAGAGACGAAACACCAAAAAAGAAACAAATTCGGTACACTAACAGTTTTTCTAAATTTGGAAACGAATAGTTCGCAAGCAGGAAGTTAGAAAAAGGGCTCGTTAAAATGTAGACGCAATTTGTAATGCAGGTTTGCTAAATATCCTAAATTTTTAGCAAGAAATTGACAAGAATACAAAATAAACATGAATGAGAAAGAACCTCGGAAAGAACGCAATTAAATTAGTGTCTTGTGCATCGTTTTTGAGGGACGAGTTGAAAAAGCAACAATTTTGAAACTAAAGCTGAAGAAGAATTTATAAAATGCATCAACTTTGAGCTCATTTCCATAAATTACACAAAATTTATTGCCAATCATAATAATACCTACTTGTATCTTTTGCTAAATAGCTTTTTTCTGTATACAGGGTGATTCTTAAATAGACCGACAAAATTTTATCCTTGGTAGTATCAAATGAGAATATGCTGGAAAAAATATTTAAAAAATTCTTTGTTTAACCGTTCTCTAAATAAAATTTATTAAAGCGATTTTCGAAGTAAAGCGTACGCCACTGATGTGTTCGTAAATAGTATTAGCACAGGTAGTGGAAACCATGGTATTAATTTGATCAAAATGTACTTGATTATAGCAACAATTCATAAACGCCGTAAGTGGCACGGATCAAGGGGGTTTTGCCCCTAAAAGATATAAACGTAAAAATCGTACAGTTTGCCTCTATTTATCGTTGAGAAGCTGTGATAAAATTTTGTCGGTCTATTTAAGAATCAACCTGTATACATCCTTTTCTTCAAAGTTTTTGTAACACGAATCTCATTCTTGTCCACAACATTGTACTTACTTGCGGTGTGTTTCTGTCAAAATTATTAGCACTGAATTGTCTTTAGACCTTAGATAATGATGTCTGTCCTCAGGTATTCAATTATAGCGCTTTCAAAGAGCAAACAGATTCATCAAAGTCAAAAAAGATCTCAATTTGAACACATAACCATAATTTTTTAACAAAATTTCTAGGGACAAAAACAAAGAGCAAACAAAATTTGTGGCTATGGAGAGAAGCTGCTACCAATTTTTTCACCAAAATTTTGACTTGGTAATTTCCATTTAAAAAAAAAACAGACTTTACATAGTGCTCATTTACCTCAAACATCAGAAATTAGAAAATAGCAAAAATAACACAAAAATGAAATAATGACAAAAAACCAAAATCAAAGAAATGAGAAGACATCAAAGATTTTACTAAACATTGTTGCCGGTTTTATTTCCAACGTAGAATCTAGAGTTTGTGTTAATTTAAAATAAAAAAATATGAAGTAAGGTAAAAGCTGGAAGTACATACATACCTGGGCATATAAAAAAGAGAAGAGTCTTTGGAAGCAGTGGCGTGTAAATTTGTATTATTATCGCAATATTTAAAAAAAAGATTAAAATAAAGGACACCATTTGATAGCTGTTGTATTTAAATTGCAATTTTTGATAGTGGAATTTAGAATATTTTTCATGCAGTTTCCCCGTAAATGGCACAGCAACACATACATATGTGTGAATATTAGAGTGAATAAAATTATTGCGTTACGCCACTGGTCTGTATCCCCTCTTATGTTTGCGCGCAATTAGGCTCCGCCCAGGTGTGTACTTTTAGCTTTGACCCCACTCTAACAGTTTATAAGAACAAAACTTTTTAAACAATAATACATTAAAAAAACATAGTTAAGTAAAGCAAAGTAGAAAACTTAAATTTCATCGTAATTAACTAAATTAAAAATAAGACATCGGCTCTTAATATTTTCTCTCTTTTCCAGAGTTACAAATAATGTGTTGCCTACCTGAAACTTACCTGAAAAAGTGAACGTAAATCCCCTCCATGTCAGATTCGCAGTGGTCGAAAGCAATGTAAACTCATGTTTATGAATAATAAAATCTGAACAAACTGTGAAATACATGTGTACCGTCCATCTAGTCTTAGTTCAATCACGCCGCTTTCAAAGTGTTTTCTTGAATACTACCTACAGAGTGCGATGGCTTCGAACGATGCAACTTTGGATGACCACCAGAGATTTGTTTTGATGAAGGTAATGTATCATTCGTCACTTTCTCTCATACATAAAAATCAAAATCAGTCGCGTATTGTGATGGTATAATAATTCGAACAAGATTTAGAGAGTTGGAAAACAAATTAGTGTAAATTGTATTCACATAGAGAAACATTTAGTTGGATTAGCTTTCACATTTATTTTTCCATTTACTCATTTCCTAATCAAATATTTATTTTGTTTTCTAATTAACTATTATAAAAGTGTGTAAAACTCAATTGGCAAGTAAACATAATTTCAATATTTGCTTTGCTGTACCATAATATACGTACTCTTTAAATTTATAGAAAGCTGGGTTTAGGTTTATTAACAAGTGCAAATACAAATTCTGAATATGTAGATACATAGTTTTGATTTTCAAAAATAAGAGAATTATTTTTAGCTATAATTAATTAATAACATGTAATAAAAATGCCTCATAAAAATATAAGAAATACATTATACCTACAGAGTGTCCCATAAACGTGAGAGTAATTGATCAGAACTTGTTTTATTTAATGTAGATGAACAAAAATTTTAACACTAACTTTATACATTGTTCAACTCAAAGTAATATTTCAGGTAGGTACTTTTTTATTTATTCTAAACATTGTAAAATAGTATACTATAAACATGTTGATTTTCTTTGCATTTTATTTTCGAAAGTAATGGCATTAAAGCTGTCTCTACAAAAATCTAAATGAAAACAAACTTTTTTTTTAGAAATAAATAGCACAGCATAGATAGTGATCTAAATAATAATTTGGTTTTAGAGTTTTTTTAGTGAATTTTGCTATGAAAAAGATCGGAATTTTATATTCGTGAAATTAATACCCTCCCTTGTGAATTAACAGTTTCCGCTCGGTTATTATTAATATTCATTTTTAGTATCTATAAAAAATAAGTATTGTTATTTTAGGTTGTTAAAGTTAAGTAATTTATCGGAATTCTTTTTTTTACAAGTGGTGAAACGACCCTTGTATACGATAAAAAATTTAGATTTAAATTTTTATTTTTTAGAGTTCAGCCTAGCTTGGTTAAAGACTATTATAATTTCTAACATAATTTTACTTTTGAATAACCAAGTATGCCTTGGAATTAAAAAAAATATTTTTCTGTAAAGTGTAAATACGACAAAAAGTTATTAAGAAAAGTTGTTTAGAATCAACAATTAGGCTTCTATACCAAATTTCAAAATCATCGGCCAACTACGATTCTAAGTTTTTTATGTTTATTATTTCTCAAATTAAAGAATTTTATTTTTAATACTTTTATTATGTAAAAAAATTACAAAAAATCTTTAAAATAGTATTTTTTTACAAATGTTTAAGGAAAATTAAAAAGCCTAGGAGGCTTAAATGTTGATTCTAAACAACTTTTCTTAATAACTTTTTGTCGTAATTGGTATGTAAAAATCACATTACAAAAAAAAATAGGTTTTTTGGAAATTTTTGAAGACATACCTACTTGATTGAACTAAAATTATGTTAGAAATTAGTTTTTAACCAAACTGGGCTAAACCCCAAAAAATAAAAAATTAAATATTTTTTTTTAAATATTTTACAACTTGTCAAATTTCCATACCCTACCCTGGTCTAAAAAAATTAATGAATATTACCTACACTGAACTGTAAGCATACAGAATTAGATTAATGGAGTCTATTAAAGAAAATTGTGTTGTAATTAGAAATTACCACTAAACGATGTGTATGCGTCAACAAATAAATTATCAACAATAAAATCTTACATTATTTAATACTAAGAAGCACTCACACTATACAAAATTGTTTATTTAATGTTTTCGTCAGATTTTCCAACTAAAACATTTTTTTAAGTTTCAAAATGCATAATGACTTTAAGTGGTTTTAACTTTAATAGTTTGAGTGTATTTAACACGGAATAACATATTTTTAATCTTTACATTAGTTTTCTGCCTTTGGACAAATTTCCTTAAAAAATAACTTGATGTTGTCTCTTTATTATTGGAATATTTATTATTATAACATCCTCGTATTTAAATATATTTATTATTTAAGTATTTAATATTTATTATTGTAACATCCAAAGGTCCTGATTGTTTCCATGAGTTATAATGATTTAAAACCGAAAAAGTCTTAGCAGGGTTGTCTGGGATCAAATTTGGCATTTTTCGACAGATTACTATAATCAAAACTTGTTACTCGACTTCAATAACAAATAAACAAAACAAATTTTGTAGTCCCACTGGTCCGCAAAGTGTAAAAAACACTGAAAATCCAAAAATAACCGCTTGTTTTAGTTGAAGGTAAACAACATTAATTAATATATTTACTGTGTGTAAAAATAAAAAAAAAACGGAATTGTAAAGGTAAAAATTTATTTTAATAATAAAAAAGTAAATTTAATAATAATACGTCAAAGTTGATACTTTGACCAAAACAAGGCCACCGTCTGTGGCTTTATTAATCGTCCTCTGCACTCGATTCATCCTTATTTCTGATCAAATGGCAAGTTTCCGCTTCCAATGCCAGTTTCCTGATATTGGCCAAACATCCGGCTGCTGCTTCTTGCAAATCCCAATCTGTGGTAGATATCGCTTTCAGTAGAAACGGAACCACTCCACTTTCGTGCATTGTGATGCAATTAAACGCATTTTTCGACAGGTGAAACAGTGCCAAAGCTGTAGTTCTATGCACTTTTGCGTTTGAGTCGGCCATATAAGCCACAAGGGGGGTAATGGCACCCAAACTGTGGATTCACGATTTTGAATTAGCAATAAATTAATTACCGTGCGATCAAAAAATAAATAAATTAGACTAGGCGGTGATTAAAGTTTTTCAGATGGCAATCGTGATTTTTTACATCAAATGTCACAAGTGTGCGTTTTATTCATTTTGAGTGAAATAATGTTCACTTTAGAGCAGAAAATTTTTATTGCTGTACAAGAGGAAAACGGTTGGTGGTCATTTTCACTTTCAGTTTGTGTGAAAAATTTCTAGCCCAGATTCCCAGCCAATGTGTTGCCAACTGTAGAATTTAAACGACGCCTTCTCTAATTTTTTTTTTTTTGATAGCACGATATAATAAAAAATCTGGTGTGAACATCACACGGCTTTCCTTATCCTAATTATTTGGAAAAAAATAGCGTTAGTGCCGGATTACACACGAAATAGATCATAGTAGTCGCGGGTTCGAGTCTGGGGTGCAGTTTTTTTTTTAGTTCGGTACTCATTATTATTATTATTTTATCACATTTACTGTTTAATAAGGTATATGTCATGATTTTAAATAATTTGTATCCCCATGAATTTATTGTATCTTCAACCGTATAATTTGCGGCTGCTTTACGGCCGACTTTTGATCTTTACGGCCGAACGGTGCTACCGATTTTTACCAATTGTTTCGTACTGCGTTCCCTTCCTTCAAGTAACTCACATACCAAATTTCAAGATTGAAATTGAAATTGAGAAATGTAAGTATATAGGTAGGTTAAATTTCAGCCGATTACAATATTTTTCTTATAGGATAAGAAAATTAAAAATACAAGGTGTCCGAGCGAATTTATGCATTCAATTAAATTTTTAATTAGGGTGGCTTGTGACTAAAATTAGATTGGCAACATTAAATAATGTACAGTGATGGACAGTGAATTTCGTCCACCCAGCTTCCGTGAATTCACAAAAATTCACTGTAATCTGCGCTTTATTGTCATGATTCATCAAATTGTATTGTCAAATTTAATCAAATTCAAAAACATGCCAGCAGTAAGTGCCTTTAATAAAATAAAAATTATCTCTCTGGTACAAGAAGGTATGTCCAAAGACATGTCTCTACACTTTTGGGCATACCAAGGACTACCATTTCTTATATAGTCAAAAAGTGGAGAGAAAGCGGCGAGTATGAACGACGTCCAGGTCTCGCGTCACCACAGTTGATGAAGATGAAGACCTAGTGCGAGCTTTGGAAGACAGGCCATTTGCAACTGCAGTTGAAGCTACAGCGATTGCTAATTTTTCCGGATCAGCAAGAACTGTTCGACGACGCATTAAAGAACGGGGACTTCGAAATTATACTGCTGCAAAAAGCATAAATCATACTGCTAGGCACAAGGAGGCTCGAATCGAATTTGCGTTACAATATAGGACGAAAATTTTTGGAGCCCTGTCATTTTTTATGATGAGAAAGTTTTTCAATCATGCCACAATGGAAAACTAAAGCTTTACAGGCCTCGAAACATGCAATATAATGATAAATATGTTCTGTCATATAACCATAGATTTTCGGTGAATATGTGGGCCTGGATTTCTGCTGTTAGTCGGGGGGTCATGTTACACGTAGAGGAAAGACTCTATAGTGTTGTATATACCAGGATTCTTGAGAACGTGATGCTGTCCTCTGTGAGAAAAGCATATTCCCATGAAAATTTCATATTTCAGCAGGATAATTGCTCCGTTCACACCGCTCGTAGAGTTAGAAAATGGTTTGTTGAGAACAACATAAATGTCTTAAATTGGCTTAGCCGCAGCCCGGACTTGAATCCTATTGTGAACATGTGGGGTTTAAATAAAAATAAAAAAATAAATGAAATAAAAAATAAATAAATAAGAATAAAAAAAGAAGAATAATGTTTGAAAACAGGGGGCTACTTTTGGATGCAATAAATGAAGCATGGCACTCCTTACCGGAAGAGTATTTCAAAAATTAATGTGTATCTATGCCAAAAAGATTGGCTGAAGTTATAAATGCCAATGGGGCACTGACAAAGTATTAATTATATTTTTCTTTTCAATTACATACCTACATACATATATTTTAATGTTCAAACTACATACAGTAAATTATTTTCCATTTTTTATATTTTAATGTGTTCTTGTGACGAACACCCACGTTGTGGGTATTTCGTTACATTTTGTCTTATGTGATTTCATTACTCAAGAGCTTATCACTATTACGTATAGGAGGTTATTAGTATTATTAACTTATTCATTTTGGATCGCATTTTTAACCTGAAAATGATTTGGTACGACAATACCTCAAACAATGTAAGACCAAGGTAAAAAGTAGCAAGGAGCATCGAACATTCTGTCAACATGAAAAACGTTAATCAAAATTCTGAAACAAGGTTAGAAAAACCTAAAGAATCATTTACACTTTTAATCTGTCATAGGAATTGGGTGGACGGAATTCACTGTCCATCACTGTAGGATGTAACGAATGAAAATTTCGCTTATTTTGCGAGAACTGAAAAAAAGTAAGGTAAATTTTGGTTGATTTCTGAGTCTTTTTTTTTAGTTTTGAAAAAATCGGAAAAAGCCAATTTCTTTGGTCGAGTTTGGAAAAATTATTTTTTTTACAATTGATTTTTTTTTCGAAAATTTGGAAACTGAATCGAACTAAATGTCATTTTTTGCAATGTTATCTTTAGTGAAATAGCCGCGTATACAGGATGATTCAGTTAATGTGAGTCTCAAATCCAATAATTGTTCTCAAAATTTATTGTTCCTTGTTTATTGTGTATCAATTTTCAAACATAAATATAAATTCTCTAGATTGGTTTGGAAGGAAATGTAAGGTAATTGTAACTTCATCTCAGTTAAATCACCCTCTATAGCAGAAATACAGGATGCGCCAGAACTCGCGCCCCAGAGAAAAATGCCATGTAGGTAAAGGTAAGGTACTAGAAACATAGAAAAAATTAAAAAAAATTCTATCTATAATAACATAACATAACATCAAAATGTTATGAGAGTTTAAATTTTGTACTTTGACTCTATTTCTGATGGAAAAATAATTGTCAAATGTCAAAAAATAAATGTCAATTTATGATAGACAGAATTTTTTAAAACATTTTTTCCATATTTCTGTTATCTTATCTTATTTGAAATGTTTCTCTGGGGTGCGAATTCTAACACCCCCTGTATTTTTTATTCGCAATCATATTGCAATCTACCATTTTCATGACATAGCAACAGCTGAGAACTAGATGATTAATGAAACTAGCCGAGTAATTATTACATACCTCGAAAATTATTACATACCTGGGGAGTGACTTTTATACCTCTGATGAGCCTCATTATCCTTACAGTTAGTTGGGTTATGTGTTGTTAGTTGACGTTCTTTATGTACCTACTTAGGTATATTTGCGGTCGTTTAAAAATTTGTGAAGTGTAAATTAGGTTTTCATCAATGATGACAATGTCAATTTCAATTTCCGGATTGGAATGGTGGTTATCAGGATATTTACTATTCAGAATTTATAGATTTATAGAATTTATAAATTGTTATTTTTCACATTGGATGAATGCGAATAAAATAAACCTCGCAAGAAGACTTTATTTCAACCTTAAGTTTCAACATTTAATCAACACTCGACTGTAATGAAGCACTTTCTTACTCGGTATGTAATCTCCTAATAAAATATTCTTAGTTTTTTCTCCAAACCGAAAATAGGTTTTTAAAATGTATTTAACTTATTATTAAATTACAGGGTGGTTAAGATGAGATCAAAAAGAGATGTCGCTGTCTCTAAATATATATTTTTTTTGTATTTTTTTTCTTTCATATTTTTTGGTAATTTCTTTGTATAGTTCGTAATGCAATAATTACATTTTAAAAGAATTACAATTTTAGTTTATCTAGATTTGACGAATTGAGTAATGTTAAAAAGTACTCTTATTAAGACAGTTTTTCAGTATTATTTTCAGCTTTTAATTAATTGAATCGTTATCTTTCCTGAATCCATCGATATGGTACAAGTATTATACCAGTTCTATTATTATTTTTGAATTTTTTACACAAAATCTAAAAATAAAAACATTTCTGTTTTAAAATTAATTTAAAATAATTTGGAGTTTAGGCGGGAAACGACCAAAGCGCCCTCATATTAATTTTTTAGGTAAAGAAACTTGGTCGTTTCGCCTCCTCACTTGGGCCACCCTGAATATAAATGAATCAACGTTTACGTTCGGAATGTAATGAGTGATTTGGAAAGTACACACGAAAGTGCAACTAATTAAATTTCGATTACATTATTCCAATTTTGAAATTAGTTGACTCACCGTCCAAATGTTTTACAATTGGAGCCCCATGCACAACAATAAGCGATAGCAGAAGCCAAATGTTCTCGCAATTCCACATTTTGAGTGTGAACCAGGTTTACCAACATGGGCACAACACCATGATCAGTTATCACAGCTAAATTTTCGATATCTTTTGCTATTTCGGCGATTGCAGCACAAACACAAGCTAATACGTGACAATCGCTTGATTTTAATAAATTTACGATTAGTTCGAGACCACCGACGAAACAACGGACCATTTCCCCGGAATCGGTGGCGTATCTTATGCAGGGAACCAAAGACCATGCAGCATTTGCTTGAACCTGAAATTCATGTTTTTGTCTTATTGTGATTAAAAAATGAAACATAATAAATAAATTTGGGGGTTATTTTTTAAAACTTAAAAAAAAACACTTAAATAACTACTACTAACAAGGTGTTTCATTTGAAAAACCATAATTTGCATTCTGAAACACTAAATATTAAAATATACTAAATAACTAGGTTTCTCGAGGATTATCTGCAAAACTGAGTTTGGTGATTTTGTAAATTTGAGAACAATTCAATGAAATTCTAAAAATTTTCTCAAACATTTATCTACTTCAAAGAAAAGTTATTTGCAAGGATTGCAATAAACCAAGAAAAACATTTAGAGTTCTGACAAAAGTAAATTTTAAGTATAATATTTTTGCAAAATAAATATTTAAAGTACTTACATTCTACATGTTATTATAATTGTTTTAAATGTGCAAATAGGACAAGTTTTTTATTGCAAATAAACATAATTACCTTTACCAGGGAAAAAAACATGCAAATTATTTCCAATCATTGTTTTTTAATTTCTGAAGTTTTCATTTAAACATCTAACATTAACAAACTTATGGAAAAAAGTTGAGTTGATTCTCATTTGTTTAAAATGTGGTTGTTTAAAGAATATTAAAATGACTTGTGTCCCAAAAATTTTTGTCAAGTCAGGTCAAGTCAGATTTGTTGTATATAATTTTTTTAAATTCTAATAATTATGCCTTGAGACTACTATTGGTACAACATCATTTCAGCAAACTTCTTTAAGATTGTAAAATGGGTTTTCAAATATTTTTTTAAAACTTGAAATTTCTATAGCCAGCTTGTATTTCAAGCAATTACTTCTGGGACACCTGTATGTGTGTGAATATTTCTATCTAAATAATAGGTATGTATAGAAATTATCCCTATGTTGGAAAATTAGGTATGAATAATCTTATTGGAAATTAATTTAAATTGATTAATAAACGATTGTTTACAATTAATGGATTTGTGTTTTACTGATAATAATTTTAATTTTCTCTTTTGGA